GGTTTCTTCCTCAGATATATTGTCGTCTTCACTATATCAACACTAATCCTCTCACAACTTAAATATGACCATGTTTGGTAAAGGAGTTTACTTTGCACATACACTATAGTAATTTGCAACGGACATATTGTGCCCTTTATTCTGTCTGCCTTTTTACCTTGCTGTTCCATTGGCCTGTTGTGTTCTTACCTCTTCTCACCTCTGAATCCCTTCCCTGAGTTCCTTGGTTGGGGAAAGTCCTTTACCTCGTATGTTACAGAAATTAGTTTTTGCCTCTGATGGAACACATCATACTTTACTACAATAACTTATTTGTTTGCCCATTCAATTGTATGTTCTTCAGTATAAGGATTATGATTCATCCTTGTGTTGCCAGCACAGTGACAGGCACATACTGTAATAGATGCTCAAATACTTGCTGACTGAAGTGTGAAGTCAGTTGAGACCTTCAAGTTCAGATCAACTTACAGAATGCTTTACATTTGAAAAATGTAAGTAACATGTAGTAATAGCTAGAATCTCAGGTCAGAAGACACAAACTGACATCTAAAATGTTGGTATATAAAGAGGTGCTATGTCACATGCCAGTGGTGTATGTGAAGTAGCTATAAACTGTGTTTATTTTCTATGGAATTGCTTTTGACCCTCTTGCCCATCCTGTGTTCATCACTGGGACTATGATACTTGCATTAACAGATATCGAATTGGTCTTTCCAGGAAGTTAGGTTAGAATTAAGTGGAGAGTGTTTCTATTGTTTGAGCTTGGTATTTACTGCATCTGAAAAGACCAGATCACTTTTTCTTTTATCCATGTGAGTTGTATTTTAAAAGTGAATTTCTTAATACAAAGTAGCAGAACTTGGAATCCATTTTCCCATTGAAAACAATGCCATTAGTGGTACTTAAGTTCGACTAATTCACAAAGCTCCCCGTCCTTTAACGGTTTTATTCAGATGTAATTCACATACCATGTTGCTTACTCATGTAAAGTATACAGTTTTTTTAGTATGTTCACAGGATTTTGCAACTATCACTACAATATATTATTTTAGAACATTTTATCTACCCTAAAGGAAACCTCTTACCTATTTCTGCACCGCTCCACCTCAAGCCTTAAGAAGCCACAGATCTCATTTCTGTCTATACATTTTTCTGTTCAGACATTTGATATAAATGGAACCACACAGTATATATGGTCTACTTGGCTTCTTTCATTTAGCATTGTATTTTCAGGGATCTTCCATGTTGAAGAATATAGCAGTACATTTCTTTTCATGGCCAAATATTACGTTGTAGGGATATACCACATTTTCCCCTGTTATATCAGTTGATGGCTATTTGCATTTTTTTCCTACTTTTTAGTGCCTATCAGTTATGTTGCGATAAGTGTGTATGTATGAATTTTTGTGTGAATGTACATTTTCATTTCTATATTCCTAAAAGTAGAATTACTAGGTTATGTAGTGACTCTGTATGACTTGAGGAACTGCCTAACTGTTCCCCACCTTGACAGGACCTTTTTATATTTTCACCAGTGATGCAATTTAAAATTTTTAGGAGTGTGACCTGGATTGTACAACCAGGTAGTTGTCAGGTTTCATCCAGCTTCATCTTCAGGCGAACATGAGACAGTTTACCCCAGTTACTGAAAGCTCTGTCTTTAAGGTGAAAATAGCAGGAAGCTTTCTGTGACAATATCAGAAAGCTCTTAACTGCTATTTTTGTTTCTAATTTGGAAAAGTATGATTTTATAGGTTTATGAAAGGTGATCTCTCTTCTCATAGGATTATTGAGAGGATTAAATGCGGTCATATTTAATGCCAAGCATATAATTGTTAATAAATGGCAGCTTTCGTTTATGTTGATCAATGTGTGTGCAGTGTATACTAATTGGCTGAAAGCTTTTAATTGCCACATATCATTTGAATCCAAGGATTAAGAGAAATGTTCATTGAAGAGCAGCTTATCCGGATGCTAGAAATTAGGGTGGGCAGTAATGACCACTAAAAGCATATATGACATTTCTCAAAACATTTGGCTTCAAAAGAGGCAGAGAGATTGCTTTTAGCATGTTTGAATAGCATCTGAGTATCTTGTGCTGACCCCAGAGTGTTTTAGGTATTATTTATTAAAACATGATTCAGCTAAGAACAGTGAGACAGATGAATGTGTGTATATACCTTCATGTTAGTATGTTCTGAGGAAGAAACATGTGCTAAATGTGGAAATGTGTAATGAGACCCAACTGAGAAGAATGCAGCCATAATGGGAAATACCCTAGTGCTTCTATACAATACACTGCTCCTGTGCTGGAACCTGCCTGGTGTTCCGGTGTCTGTCACTAGTGAAGGGGGAAAAGAAGGGAAAAAACCTGCCTGGTGTTCCGGTGTCTCACTAGTGAAGGGGGAAAGGAAGGGGAAAAACCTGCCTGGTGTTCCGGTGTCTGTCACTAGTGAAGGGGGAAAGGAAGGGGAAAAACCTGCCTGGTGTTCCGGTGTCTGTCACTAGTGAAGGGGGAAAGGAAGGGGAAAAACCTGCCTGGTGTTCCGGTGTCTGTCACTAGTGAAGGGGGAAAGGAAGGGGAAAAACCTGCCTGGTGTTCCGGTGTCTGTCACTAGTGAAGGGGGAAAGGAAGGGGAAAAACCTGCCTGGTGTTCCCGTGTCTGTCACTAGTGAAGGGGGAAAGGAAGGGGAAAAACCTGCCTGGTGTTCCGGTGTCTGTCACTAGTGAAGGGGGAAAGGAAGGGGAAAAACCTGCCTGATGTTCCGGTGTCTGTCACTAGTGAAGGGGGAAAGGAAGGGGAAAAACCTGCCTGGTGTTCCGGTGTCTGTCACTAGTGAAGGGGGAAAGGAAGGGGAAAAACCTGCCTGGTGTTCCGGTGTCTGTCACTAGTGAAGGGGGAAAGGAAGGGGAAAAACCTGCCTGGTGTTCCCGTGTCTGTCACTAGTGAAGGGGGAAAGGAAGGGAAAAATCGTGCCTTGAGATTATAGATTCCTATTAAATTCTCTTTTATTTATTCTTTGTTGATCTTCATGATAGATTAGAAATGCAGGGACATGGAAGACATAGCAAGAATCTACACCTCTCACATGCCCAAAGCTATCCTTGACGTGTCCCGCTTTCAACCTTGCCTGCTTTGCCTGCCAACGTGCCCGGTTCCCCATGCCTCAGAATCCCTCTTTCTCATTCTCTTAGAGCAGCTGGGTTATAGTAATTCTGACAAATTTCTTTCCCCAGTTGCAGGAATTCTTTGAAAGAGGAGGGACAATAGTACAAAGAAACCTTACTAGTTTATTTCATTTTAGGCAAAAAAACTAGGGAGGTGGCTCACAGTTCTGTGTATTAGTGTTTTGGGGAGCATTTACAAAATTCACAAGCTGTGCACCCACTTCTGGAGATTCTTATATAACTGATATGTAGTGGAGCCAGAGTTCTCTTGAAAAAAACTGAGTTTCTTCAAAAGTCTCCTAGGTGACTGATGTGCAGTCAGAGTTGAGGAACACTAAAGAGGAGCAGTTCTTTGCGGATAGGCCTTGTATCCAAAATGAAAGCTTATCACTCACTTGGTCTGTCTTGTTTGTGAGATCAGCCTCAGTCAGAGGGAGGGAAAAGGTCTAGTCTTTCCAGAAGGAAGAATACCCATTTTCTAGATCCCCCTTCACATCCACGTCTACTAGGTGATGGAGTATAGCAGGATATTCTCTCCCCAAGTGGGAGAGGGCCATTTCCCTGTAAGCTGAACATGATCTGGATTGGTTTCCAGTCTCTAATTCCACAGGTTACTGTTTGCAGGGTTGCCTAACCTTTTTTTGTGCTATTGGAATTCTTTGGTGGTCTGGTGAAGCCTTAGACCCCATCTCAAGTATTTTAAGTGTAGAAAGTGAAATGCATAGCATTACAAAGGAAACAAGTTATATTGAAGTACAGTTAATGAAATAAAATTTGTACAATGATATGCTATGTTGACACATTAAATAACATTTAGTGGTCTAGTAACTACCATAATTTCAAAGTAGTGATATATGTAAACAATAGTTCAAGATGACTGTAAAACACTGTAATGTTTCTTTGAAGCAACTGGTTTCTTTTTTTGTTTTTATTTTGTTTTGTTAATCGTCACCTGAGGATATTTTTCCATTGATTTTCAGATAGAGTTGAAGGGAGGAAGGGAGAGAAAGAAACATGGATATAAGAAAGACACATCCATTGATTGCCTCCCACATGACCCTGACCGGACCAGGGATCTACCTTCAACCCAGGTATGTGCCCTTGACCTGGAATTGAACCTGCGACCCTTTGGTCTACAGGCCAACGTTCTTACCACTGACCCAAACTGGCCAGGGCAGCAATGGTTTCTATTGGAGACAAACTCATAGGTACTGGTAATACTGTGGTTTGTTGTCAACATTCACAATAAAAATTTTTTAAATGCTACATTTCAGTTTAGGTTTGTGAAAATAAATAATGTAATTTGTCTTATCCAAGCTGAAGGATACCTGAAAGTTTTATATGCTGAGCATATTAATATGTTAGTCTTCTTTTTACACATATGAAACAACAGTTAAGTTTTTTGGTTTTTTACCCTGGCTGGTGTGGCTTGGTTGATTGGAGTGTTGTCCCATAAACCAAGGGGTGGCGGGTTTGATTTCTAGTCAGGGCACATACCCAGGTCAGGTTCAATCCCCAGTCAGGATGAATGTGGAACACAGCCAATCAATGATTCTCTCTGTCTCTCCGCTCTTTCCCTCTCTCCCACCACCACCACTTCTCTCTAAAATCAATTTTAAAAATTTTTTAAAAGATTGTGGTTTTTTTTATTAGCATAATAGTTTACTTAGTTGTATATTTCCAAAGTCCCTCTTTAGATCCTAAATCTCACATTGTAATCATCTTTTTAAATTCAGCATTATCAGTGTGGTACCAGATTTTATACAGAGCATTAGCTAGATAGCATTTCCTGACATGCCAGAATTCTAATAAAAATTATTTGCTGTTACAGGAATACAAGCGCAAGTTAGCCAGGGTTTCCCTGGTGCGCAAAGAACTCAGGTCGCGGATCCAGAGCCTGCCAGACTTATCTCGATTGCCCAATGTCACTGGCAGCCACATGCACCTGCCCTTTGCGGGGGACATCTACAGTGAAGATTGATGACCAGTCTCTCTTTCCAGGGCCCAGGACTTTGCAGGAGATGGAGACAGGTTAGGTGGATAGTCCTGTAACATTATTTTTGTATATTGAGAGAGTGACACTAACCAAACAAAACAAATGACAAGTAATTTATAAAATTGTTTAAAATGTTGGTTTGTTTACTATTTTATTGGTAAGTTAACATGACTTAGTTTAAACAAAGTGATCTCTGTGTATTAAAAAGCTCACAAATAGTGATTATTTTCGAAAGATCTTTTGTAAATTTTTTTGATCCAGGGCGTTGTGAGAAATTCCATGTTTCTATTTCTTCATGTATTTTCAAATGTTTTTCTTTGTTTTTTTTCGGTATCTATTCACAGTATAGTATGTAAGTTTGAAGGGGAAGAGCTAATCAGGAGTTGGTTGAGACTTAATTATGGTATAGTTAGGACTTGATTGTAGAAGGGACTAAATGTGTTTCAACTTAATCTTCACCCTTCTCCCTGACCAAAATATCAGTTGTGTGCCTCTCAATGCCTTTGATTCCTTATTCCTTAGAGGTCAGTAATTTAACACTAACCATGGATGTCATTTTTAGGCTCAAATCAGAGCTTACAGAACGTTCAAACAATAGCACTGTAGGGGTTCCATTCCAACTACCAGTGTAGAAAAAGAGGAGTGTTAAATAAATAAGGACCCCCTTGATTAACCTGTTTAGAAATAGTTGATGAGATTAATATGAAATGCTTGGGAAATGTTATAAATTAGATGTTCTGCCAAATCGGACAGCTTTCATTTTGTCCGATCAGCCTCCTTTTAACATAATTGATCCCTTTAACATAAAGCCACCTATGGGACTAAAAGAAACAAAATAATGATACTTTTATTATTCCCATAGCCTTTAACTTTAAAAACAATGGTATTTTTAGCTCTAATATCTCAAGGACATAATATTCATTAATGTTCAGTAAAGTAACCTGGAACATTTTTAATGTTTCCTGAAGGTTTTTGAATGACTGTATATTTGGAAATTAAGCAGTGCTGCACTACAGGGTAGATCTGGTAAATATTATATTTGTATATTTAGAATGACCAAAACAGATGTACTTTTACCTTTTATTTTAACCCTGTGTGTTAGAGCAGTTGCATGCTCTCCTGCTTTCTTCTTAAATCACATTGTTAAGCTGTGGATTTGTACTCAATAATGACTTAGGATAAACATTTTTTTTTTTATTCACTACTTTACATATTAGGCATTTTTCTTTTCATTGTAAGCAGGTTCCAATTAGATAGTCAATAAAACATCTTTAAATCCCACAAGCCAATTATGTCTCACTAGTCTGAATGGCTTCACTCTTTCTTCCTCAGTGTTAGAGACTATAGTTAAAATGAATTTATGTGTGAAAGAGAAAGCAAATATTTATTTTTAATAGCCAATAGTTCTGGAAACAGTGCATCTAAAAATTTGACCTTTCTCTAAAACAGACACATATAACTGTCCCCATTGATGTGTGTGGCTTCTAGTCCAGAGTTTTTTAGTCTCCTTTAGGAGTTGGGGCACGTTTTCTCACAGAGACAATTGTAGTTAGGTTCCATGTGAACACCACCACAGAAAACTCACCTGGGAACCTAATCCACTTAGCCATGGATGTAGTTCATGTTGATACAAATTAGTGTAGTTGATGAATCATTAATAGTTACCAATAGTAGATCCTGACCAGCATTTGTAACATTGTAATATCACCCTAACTGAGGAAATGACGTGCAGCCGCCAGACTACACATTGGAGTGTCTTTCTTGTGTCCCTCTGTGAGGATATGACTTGGCGGGTGTGTGTAACAAATGCACAGTTATAAAAACCTAGTTATACCTGTTACAAAAGTATACCACAGAAGTTAGATTTTTTTGTTAAAATGAAAGCAAAAACTTGTACATTATTTTCAACATCACTTTACTTATGATATGATTAAAGTCGTGATTTAGTCATTCAAAATATTTTTTTTTTCCACTTAAAACTAATTTATAAACTGTGTACTCCTGGGAAGATTTGAAATCTATTAGAAGTTCGTTGAAATAGTTTCACCATTTCAGATAGACTGATTTAGGTACTGATTTTAAACTTCTGATTTAGGTACTGATTTTAATGCCAGTATCTGCTCTAAATATTTATTATAAAAATGCATTATTTTTTTAAAGAGCTCAATGCAATTTGTGATAAGTGATGGTACTCAACCTGAATCCAACCCCCAAACCCACCCTTTGACAAGTCCTCCTCAAACTTTCTATTGTTAGTTAAATTCACTAAGTGTGAACACAAATGATATAGTGTGGTTTAGAAGTTACTTTTTCAGCCACATGATAGTTAACATGGTAAGCCTTAGCAGTAAATAGTCTTCTTTTCTATAAGGTAGACTACTTCTCAAGATCTGGGTTCGATGTGGGTATTGTAATACCAAACTCTAAATCATGAGTATTTTCTCCACTGTGTATATGAGGCAGACCATGCATCTTTGAGTGCAGTTTGGCCTGGCCCCTAAAAGAAAAGCATATCGTCACACTTTTGCAGCAGGGGTACTATGGTTTGAATGGATACCATCACTCTTTTCTCCACAAACAGTGCAGAGCTGTCTGGAGTGGCAGTTTGAACAGATTCCCTGGCAATCCCTCTGGTCCTTCCATCACTACAGTAAGTAAAAGAACCTTGTGGGGGAACTTGGGAGTCTGAGAAAATCGGCTATGCTCAGTAGCCAACCTCCCCTCCAGGAAAACCAATCCAGATGCAACTATTTTGGTACCTTTTCTCACATGCACTTCGAATCAGGGTTTTTCTAGAAGAACAACATCAGAATCAGCAAAAGCTGGAATGACTTGGTCATCTTCATTTGCAAAATTAAAAGAACACTAGGTTGTCAGTTATCACTGTAGGTGAGCAACACATCTATTAGTGATTGAACAGGTTCTGAGAACTCTGAATGAAAAAACGAAAGTACACATTAATTGGGAAAGCTAGAATGTCCTTTCTGAAATTTCTATTCTAAAAACTGATATCATGTGAAATAAGAAAAGCTACTAAACTGCTTTGTATTCTATTAAGAAATTAGCTCCTAAAGGTAAAGTCTTGCTTCATAGTTGTTGCACTATATGAAAGCTTTTTTTAAAGGTGGAAGCCCAGTCCTCTGTGTGCAGGGGAGCATTGAGTCACATGCTGAGTTTATGCGTACAGGGCATTTGTTGCCACCTGTGACTTCAGCCATCCACACTTGAGTCTGTTCGGAGGTGGCAATAGCACACAGGAAGATGAAGTTTTCCGGGAAGATGAAGTTTCCCTGCTTCTTTACCCTTATTTGTTTGGCTGTATCTGATGACAATATAAAATGTTAATAAAGTTTTATGTTCTTTTTGAAGTATGTACATTATTTTTGTGAATCTGATTAATTGTATACAGGGTGAGGAGGAGAGGGATTAATGGACTAGGAGGGAAGGAAAGTATTGGAAGTATTCAGCAACTTTATGGTGGAGAAACTGTTGAGGGAGATTCTTTTTGATTGGCCAGTGGTTCCCAAACTTGAGAACATCAGCATCACCTGGAGGCCTTATTAAACTACAGATTGCTGGGCTGCACCCCCAGAGCTTCTAGGGTAAGGCCTGATTGTTTACGTTTCTAACAATTTGACGCTGATGCCACTGGGTTTAGGGACCAACCACATTTTGACAACCCTTCTGTAGACCAACTTTGGAAGTCTGTGATTTGCTTCACAATTTAAAATTCCAGGTGATAAGATAATAAAGGATGGGTTTTACAGTTCATTATATAGCAAATTTCTTATGGACAGACAATAAGACCAAATCTTCTTTTGTGACCTACTGCTCAGCAGAGCTTAAGTGCTTTCGATGAACAGATTCACTTAGTACCTTGAACTTCTGTGGAGCACAGGCCCTCTCACCACACCTTGAGTTTAAAGCAGAATGGGGGACGACTACACATCTGGAATCTCTGGCAGTGTTTGCCAAACTGCTTGGATAAGACTCCCTTGGGACATTTGCAGATGGGCACATACCAACTGAATCAGAACTTTCTGTGATTCTTACTATCTAGAAATTCTGGGAGATGTAGTCCTGACCAGTGCCCTGGTCCTCCATTCCTGGATAGGAGAATTACCTAGCTTTATATGCTATATATGCAATTCCAAGATATTAACACAAAACCCACATCATGGATACTTAGCACCATTACCCAATCTTTACACAAGCTTTGTGTGATCCTTTCCTAAGTTCAGAATGAAGTAACAAAACCACTAATCTGAAATGACTATGATCTAATGATCTCTCTGGAGAGTTAATATTTTTAAAAGGGATTCAAAGACATACTTTAAATATTATAAATTATATGTATATTTGGCCCAGCTGGTGTGGCTCAGTGGTTGAGTGTCGACCCATGCACCAGAAGGTCACTGGTTCAATTCCTGGTCAGGGCACATGCCTAGGTTGTGGGCCAAATCCCCAGTGGGGGGCATGCAGGAGGCAGCCAATTGATGTTTTCTCTCATCGATGTTTCTATCTCTCCCTCTCCCTCTCCCTCTCAAATCAGTAAGGAAAAAATAATTATATGTATATTCAATGCATATGTGTGTGTAACTGAATATTAAAGTTAGTAAAAAAATGTTCTCTAAAAAATTGATAGGCCTGAAGAGATAAATATAAAAGATTTCATATCAAGACAAGGTTAAAAGGACTTAATAAGATTGAACTAAATATATGAGAACGTTCTCTTTTGTCTGTTACCTTTAATGATAACTAGTAATTGCACCCAAGATTTATAAACAACATTTTGGGATGCCCAATTTATAATAGTATATTGATTCCGAACTTTTCCTAGCTTCTAAATCTGAGAAAAGTAAAAGATAATTTGGAATTATTCCAGGGAAATTTGTATATATAAATTTTGTACTTACATCTATGGACTGAGCCATTATAGGAAGACTCAACCAAGGCTGGAAGGACCCCTTGTACATAACTTTGGATATTGAACCACTTGGATTTTATGCATTCATGAAGTGAATTCATAAATCAGTCTCCCCTTAACCTCCAGTACCTACGTGCCTCCTTGAGAAAGTAGTCACCAAAGTAAGTCTGTCACTTGTCAGAAAACCAAACTGTCTTGAACATGAACTTAAAACAACTAGAGCAGCAGTTCTCAACCTGTGGGTTGCGACACCTTTGGGGCTCAAATGACCCTTTCACAAGGGTCACCTAAGACCATCGGAAAACACATTTCCAATGGCGATTCATAACAGTAGCAAATTTAGAGTTATGAAGTAGCAACGAAAATAATTTTATGGTTGGGGATCACCACAACATAAGGAACTGAAAAGGGTCGCAGCATTAGGAAGGTTGAGAACCACTGAACTAGAGTGAAGATATATTAGACAAGTGTTGATATTGTTAAAGAAAAATTATTCTAATGTTTATAAGTTATGGAAGACTTGAGCCCAGGCAGGTTTGGCTCAGTGGTTGGAGCGTCGGCCCACAGTCCAGAGAGACCTGGGTTCAGTTCCCGCTAAGGGCACGTACCTTGTTTGCGGTTTGTCCCCGGCCCTGGTTGGGGTTGTGCAGGAGGCAGCCACTCGATGTGTCCCTTTCACATCAATGTTTTTCTCTTTCTCTTCCTCTCTCTCCCTCCCATTCTATCTGAACAAAAATGGGAAAATGTCCCTAGGTGAGGGTAAAACAAAAAGAAATAAAAGTTATGGAAGACTTGAGACTTTTGCAATAGATGTCAAGACTATCCCAATAGGGGAGAAAGATGGAGCTCAACTCCGAATATGTCAGACAGCTGGGGATTTATAGCCACTGGGAAGAGTGAAAGGGTCAATGAATGGAAAATTGCTAAGAGGAGACATCAAGGGCAAGGGGATTGATTCTTGCTAAACTGACTTAGCAGGAATGTTGCTGAAGGTAGGCCAAGGTGATCCATGTATAAAAGGTGGGAGAATTCTCGGAGGCAAAGACAGCCCAAGAGCAAGGCCTAGTTGAAAAGAGGGCTCAGGGAAGCCTGTCTAAAGTTTGGTTGAGAAGAGATTCTTTGTCAATATAATCATAACAAATGTATTTTTACAGCCACCTCAAAACAACTCACCCACATAATTAGAGAGGTGCATTCAAAGGATAACCACCATAGAGTATTGCTAGATTTTATTCATCTAGTGTTTTTATTGTTGGTGTTGATATTCATATTTTCACAGATTTTAGGGATTGATGATAATAGCACAAACTGCTTGAACATTTTTAATATGCCTCCACTCTGCCAGGCCAGTGTGGCTCACTGGTTGAGCGTCAGCCCATGCACCAAGAAGTCTCCGATTTGATTCCTGGTCAGGGCACATGCCCAGGTTGTGGCCCAATCCCCAGTGGGGGGCATGCAGGAAGCGGCCAGTCGATGTTCTCGCTCATTGATGTTTCTATCTCTCTAACCCTTTCTCTCTAAAATCAATAAAGAAAAAAAAAATGCCATCCACTCTTCTAGATGTTTTCAGTGTACCACCTCATTGAGTCCTCACAGAACCTTTATGAGGTAAGTACTGTTTTCCTCATTTTACATATAAGGAAACAGACCGGAAAAAATTAAGAATTTGCCAAAGAGGACCCAGTTAAATAGCACAGCCAGGTTCTTCAGGGCAGGACCACAAAGACTGCAGTAGGCTGTACTGTACCACACAAACAAGTCATTTTTAGTCAGAGTTAAGAATTCTAATTAAAGGAATAATTGTATACTTTGACCAATTTTTTTTTTTTTTTTTATCCTCACCCGAGGACATTTTTGCAATTTTTGTACAGATAGAGGGGGAGGGAGAGAGAGAGAGAGAAACATCGACGTGAAAGGGACACATCGAGTGGCTGCCACCCACACGACCGACCAGGGCCGGGGACAAACTG